TGCTTGCAGAACCCAGTAGGTGGCATCTGAAAGGGGTGGTCGATGTGAGTGCTTTCTGTGGCATTTGTGCGTGGCGTTGTATTTTCTTTGTCCCCTCTTTTTTTTTTTTTTGATAGAATGACGGTACATTCAGTAATCAGAAGTGTGAGTGAATGCCTTTGAAATGCAACGTACTTATCAAAATGTGGCTGCACATAATGGAATTGGATGTCAGGAGACATCAGCGGGATGCCAGCGTTCTTGGCACCTTCAGTCAAGTCAGACACAGTTCCCCTTTGGGTGAGCCACCCTAGAGATGCTTGTTTGGAAATGTGGTGCCTCCAAAGGTAGTCGAGTTGTTAAACCTTCAACCAAATGGTTTATTGCTTGTTTGTTAGTTTTGACCTTGCTCCAAGAATTAGTAGAAAGCAAGCCTGTGTCTTTTGCTGGATTTGGTTGCAGTATAGAAATCACGCAGACTTGGTAGTTTGTACATAGGAGAAGTACGGTTCTGTTGCTTGCGTTATGTTTTTTTTTGCCACATAATGGCTGAATTATGCCTAAAATTACAGCTGAGTCGACTTGTACGTTGAGGTGGTGGCCTTTTGCGCTGAGATGTGGAGATAAGTTTTCTGGGTCCAAGTCCAGGTGTATCCGGGTGTTACTCTTTGGGTGAGCACAGCATTAAGTCCCTTCTGCAACTGGGGAAATGGTACCAAAATAAACGATCGGAGAGCCTGTAGGTTTTTTGGAGGACAGGATTGTGCATGATAAGCACATCACAGACTTCAGCAGTAAGTAAGAAAGCAAATTTCCTTTATATTGGACAATAAAATATGCTTTTATAGGATTAGGGTAACTAGGTATAAAGACATTGTCCCTGGGTTGTTTTCTAAATAATTTAATGTTGTACACAGAGTAAATTGGCTCAGTGTTGCTACTTCCTTCTTAGATGCATGCTTTGTGTCACATTTGTATTCTGTGTGATATAGTAAAAATAATCCTTGTCAGAAGGCATTTTATACAGAAGCAATATTCTCAGGCTTGAAATAAACCCCAGTTCCAGCTTTTTTATTCTACATAACAGCAGAAAGAGGCTGAGGGCTGATGGAGCTGATCAGGGAGGGTTTCGAGCAGCGCAGGCAGGCTCAGGACAGCTCTGCACCACCCCAGAGGTACCATGGTTGGGCTGCGGGCTGGTGCTGGTGCTGTGAGAAGGGGGCAGTGGCTGAATAACCAGAATTTGGCTGAAGTCAAGGAGAATTGGGAGAGTACACTCAGGTGTGAAACACTTGGAAAGTGTGTATTAATGTGCACTGGCAGAGCTGACTGCTCTCTGCTGTCCGTTGTTGCTGAATTTGCTTACACTTCCAAATACCTAGAATTTGGATTTGTTAGGATTTGGAAGCGGTTCTGGGGAGCTAGGATTTTCAGTGCAGGAGCCAAAAGTTGCACACAATACCCTGGTCGTCAACACATGCAGCTCAAAGTCTGTGGTATCTGTTATTTCTGAGTCTGAGTTCTGCAGGGGCACATCTGGCGTGCCGGATCCTTGCAGCTGTGGGGAGAAAGCAGCACGGTGCCATGATGCCAGGCTGACCCCACAACATAATCCTGTGCTCGGCGGGGATCTTCTCTGCCTGGATTGGGCGCAGGAGGCTCACCCTGCCTGGTGCGTCAGCTCTGCTCATGGGCACAGTACTCGGAGTGAGCTGCTGCATCCCAACCATCAGGCTTTGGTTTCCTGTTTTCTGCAGTGTTCTGGGAAGCAGAATGCTGCACAGCGAGCCAACACCCCTGTGGTTTGGTTTTGTACGGTTGGGTGGTTTTGGTTTTGTCTTTCTCTTGCATCTAAAGATGGAAAAAAAAAGCCATATCTGAGTTTTCAGAATATTTAGAGCCACGTTGTGTCCTCAGTGATAGTGAAAATCCTCTCGTCCTTCATTTCACTCCATTTGTATTGCTGATGGGAATTCAGAAAGCAGGAGGAATGAAGGTGCACTAGGAGGCGTTTCTGCTCATTGCATTGTGTCTGCAGAGCTAACCAGCATTGGAGCAGTAGGAAGGCACCACTGCCGCTTAAGTTCTGGTCCTAGTGCTCATGTACACCACTGTTGGGGGATAACTACTCTCATTGCATTAATGACAGGAATTTTAGACTGACTTTTGCTAATAAATACTAGTGTAACCGCAAATGCTGTTGCTTACTGAAAGGAAGCATTTTAAAAAATTGGTTTTCTGTCAAGTATTACATGCTGGCAGCCACTTTTAGTAGGGTTTTGCAGTATTACAAGTTCAGGTGAATGACTTTTAAAATAGCTTCACAGGAAACTGCCCTGTCTTTAAGAGCAGTTCTTTAATTGCTGCTTTTCAGTCTTCAGTGCATTTATTATGTATTTCAACCAAAACATGAAATTTTTGTGTTTCAGATGAAGTCCTACTGACACTCCACCATACTTTGTGGTGTGTCTTGCAATGTCGGTTAAAGCCAGCTGCTGCAGCGTACCCATTCCTAATGGTCTGATAGCAGCATGGTATTTGGCCTTCACTTTTTCCCACTGCCAACAAACTCCAGCAGAAGCAACGCCAGGAATTTCTGAAAAAAAGGGAGTTTTGTTACCAAGTTCTGCTGAAAGTGACCTTGCATTGTAACTGCCCAACCTTGCAGACCATTTGTGTAGTGAGCAAAATAGTAGTTCTGTGCAAGGAAGCAAAAGCAAACTCCCCTGCAGTATCAGAAGGTGATTCTGTACTAATGAGGGAGGTGAACAATTTACATACTTGGTCTGTGTGAATCCATGTGTGTTATAAAAGCTTTCTAAAGACAGCTTGTATTGATGTAAGGCTCTGCTCAGAGATGAGCAGAGTTTGCCATAGCTGTAAGCAGCAGGAGTGCACCAGGCCACTGGTCAGCTAGCAGTGTGTCAGCCAGCCTCCTTCTTGCTATTTCTACAAAAATGGCTCTGCACTGACGGTGTATATTCACTATGTATAGGGAGACTAAGGCCTGGGTCTGTCAAACTTGGATTTTTCCAAATCTTAGAGACATGCCTGTATTTTAAGGGTATGCTAAATTGTCACGTAACGAGCAGAGTAACGAGGTGGATAAATGTGAATCGGTGGTCATGAAAAATCAAGAGGTGGCAATACTGCTGTGTATTGTAATATCAAGCTTATTACAAATTCAAATAATATATTTCAAATATATCTGTAATACATAGTAGTTCTGATGGAGTGATTAGACTTCCAGCTTCTCTTGTTTATTCGGCATATTCCTTGTCCTTGTATTCAGTATTGACGGTATTAGTTTTTATGCCCTTGTTTGTTGAACTGTCTGCGGGCAACCCTTCTGAGTCCCAGTCTGTAAGCCTCCCCCTGTTAGCCAGTCTGTGGGCAGAGGTAGTTTTCCTGTTTTCCCTGGGATGTGTTCTGCCCTTACCCGACAGACTCGTCTGATGTCACCATCTAAAACTCTCAGTTCTCCATCGGACTTCATCCGTTCTGGCTAGAGTTTGGCTCCTCACCACCCCTCCTGTCCACCACCCAGCTGGTCCTGATGGTGGTACCAGTTCTGCCTGGTCCCTGCAGGACTTGAACTACATACAGATGAGCTGTTGAGCACTGAATCTCTTCTTCGTTGGATACACAATAGTGCAGATGCATAGAAGCAGTCTGCTACAGGAGCTCAGCAAATTTTATGGGCCCCAATGGAGCAGGGGATCAGACAGGGAGGAGGGAAATACTAAATATATTCTTAACTGTGGTAAGATACTGTTCTTTCTAAAGTTGCTTGTTAGATCAGTAGTGAGTTATGCTTATAACTTCCCTGTAGCTCCCAATGTCTGAGGCTCAGGTTGTGCCTGTGTCCATGCAGAAACTTCTCAGGTGCTCAGTGATGTCCTTGCCCCATTGATTTGTTTCTTTTGCAGACACACTGAAGGCAATTCAGCTGGGCACAGGCATGAGTGTGCCTATTTTTCGTTCAGAGGGGCGTTCTACAAGTGTCCATTGTAACTTTGCCTTTTTTGAATATTTTAGGAGTCAGACGAGATTTTATGACTAATCCCATAAACAGTTCTTCATGGAAAGCTGCAGAAAAATTACTTCCAAAAGCACATACTAAGATGTTTGTGGACGTTCCGTAGTCAGGGGAAAAAAAAAAAAAAAAAAGCTCGATTCATCATCAAGAATTATAATGTATAAATAAATAAAACCATAAATGTCATCTTTTCTAACAGATTCTATGTCCCCAGAATTGTATTGTTCTCTTGTATTGACATATTGTTATTCATATATGTATCTGCAGAGTGTAGAGTATAGAAAGGCAGCTGGCTTGTAATGAGTCCTTCCCTTTGGAAAAGGGATAGATTTGGTTTTGCTTATTGTCATTATGCCCTTGTTATCTCAGGCATAGCTGCCTTTAAATTCTATCAATCTATCTTTCTTTTGCTTGTATAACTTCTGCATTTTCTTATATTTGTTCCGTGGTAAACCTGTCAGCCTGGTATTCCAAGTTTCTTACAGCTGTAAAACTTATTCATGCCCTCCGAAGCAGCAGGTGCTATGTTAGAGGGCCAGATGAAATATCCCACAGAAAATGGTTGAAATTGTTGTTCCTGAGGGTGAAAAATTATTGTCTGCACTCTGTGTAATGCTGGAACTGAAGGGTTATGAAATCATACAGCTTAATACAAGGATGACAGTTTTTTTTTGTTTGTTTGTTGTTGTTTTGTTTTCTTGAAATATAGTTGGTGTTTCCCATGAGCCATTTAAAACTCAACTGATGTCATAAATACAAAGAACTAGACACTGTTGCTGATGACCTCTCCTAACACTACTAAGCTTTTCCCAAGAGTTGAGCATTTAAGAGTCTATATTGGAGCAGAGGTTTCCAAAAAGAGCTCTGAAGGTTACTGTCCATCTAAGCCAGTGGTTTTTGTCTGTTAGTATCTTGTTCAGGCTGTCAGTCTCAATCAGCACAAATAAATCACTGCAGCTTTCTGGCTCCGTCTCATTTTCAGAATTTTGGAGCGCTATGTCCAGGATCAGATTCCAGGTGCGACAGTCGTGGTGGAATCCATCGGTGCACGGAGGTTTGGGGATGGGTACTCTGAAGAGGATTATACGAAGTCTGACCTCATGGTCTATGCGATCGACCCGCAAACAAATCGAGCTATAATGAGGAATGAACTTTTTAAGTGAGTATATTATTTATAATTTATATTATGTGACTAGGGTGTGCATTTACATGCAGGAAATCAGTGCTCACAGGTCCCCAGTGGGCTGGGCAGGTAGATCTGCATGGGGACATCCCACCAGCTGTTAGAGATGGGGAGAACCAGAAGATAGATCACCCACATACACAATTTGATGTTATTTTGTCTTTTCGATCTATTTCCAAAGTTGCAGTAAAGTTCCAGTGTTGCATAAAACACAAGAGGCTTTTTACCGATGGGTTTGTGCTCACAGCATGTTGACTGTGGTGGGGCCAGCTCTTGTCCCTGTGGCGGGTTTGATATGGTGCCCCCCTGCCCGGGGTTCTGCACCTTAGCAGAGCTCCCAGGGGACACCATGCTGACATGCAGCTCTGTTCTCCACCCTGGAAAAAAAAAACTTGAAGAAGCCAGAGATTACATGGGTAAGGAAAACAGAATTAATATAATCTCTTTATATTATTTTTTTTCTGAGTCATCACTAGGGGCGAGTAGGTTTTGTTACAAAATCAGTATTTCAACCCATTCAACTGCCAGGGTATCAACAGAGTCACAGAACCATCTTGTTAGGAACTGTATTTTTGTTTCAGCGCTCTGCATATGTATCAAAACAGGGAAAAGGGTCATCAAGTTCTTCCTCTAAAGCAGGCACTATCTTTTGGTGTGTTTCTGCATGAGTTTCACCTCTGCGTTTGCTTTTTAACTCAGTGAAAACTAGACCAGACTGCTCAATGATGGCATAAAGCAGCACGTCAGTCAGCAGCCTGTAGAGTAAATGGCTGTGAGCCATCTCAGTGAACTATGATTGAAAAAGGGCTTGTTCTCCCGAGCTCTTAATTTAATACAGATGAATTATAGCATACTAAATCTCTGCATATATTCAGAGTTTATAGGTTGGAAAAGATCACTGTGATCAGTCTGACCTGGTATAATAAAGATCATAGGAATTCCCAGAATTAATTCTGCTTTGAGCACGTCTTTCAGCAAAGGAACTGTTCGAGAAAATCCAATCAACTACAACCTTCATGGTGTTACTGCAGTGGTAATTATTTTTACTGCCAAAAAGTAGACTTTAAATACATATATATATATATATATATGTATATATATTATATATGTCTAAGTGCAGTCATTGTGTTTAGCTATAACTCTGGGTTGAACCACACAATTTGTGCTTTTAATTTCTGGTTCCCCCTAAAGCCTAAGATTATGATCACATCATCCTCTTTTTTTTTTTTTTTTTTTTTTTGTCAAGTTCTTTGTGCTCTGCACTCTGAGAAATGTTTTAAGTTTTTTAATCACTTAGTCTCTCTGGACCCTCTCCAGTCTTGCAGTATCTCTCTCTGAACTAGCAGTATAAAAATCTGATGCAGTTTAGCAGAGGTAGTTTTCAGAGCAGTGGCAAATAAAGAGGCAAGATAGCCTCCTTCCTTCTGCTGACCATATTTTTTTGTTTGTAGGCATCTCCAGGGTCATAAAGTCTTTTTCAGTCTTAGCAATGCATTGGGAGTTTGTGTTCACTTGTCTACTGCCAATTCCCAGAATGGAGTGTCTTCACTTTTGGTAGCAATTTGTCCTACTTGTTATTTCTCCACTTCCTCAGTTTGTAAATCCATTGAGGGCTGGGTTTTCTTCCAGTTTAGAGTATGGCTGAGGTGGAATCCCGTTAGAAACACTCAAGGTCAAAAAGACAATTATTCTGTGCTGCCCAGGTTCAGAAAACATATGTGACCATGATGACAGTTGAAAATCCTCTGTCACCCTTTTGTTCTCTCCTCTCTTTGGAAAGCACTCTGCAACGCTAGTATTGGAATAAGAAAGTGAGCTAGTGGAGGTAGTTTGTTCTTTCTAGTCCCTAAGAAAGATATTTTCCTGTTGCAGACTCTCTTCATGAACAGAAAATGCATCCCTTTGATTTTGGTGCCCATTGAGAATGTAGGAATGTCTTTGGGGATGTTTGTGTCCCCAGTGGAATATACAGAATAGAGTTAAGATAGGTTAAAGGCAAATTTTCCAGCTTGAATGGAACGTTATTCATTTCTCTGATTTGAAAATGTATGGGATATTATCAACTTAGAGGCGATCTCATTAGAATGTACCGTGTGTCTGCTGGTGTTTTTTAATTTTATTTTTTTTTTTCTCTGCCCTCTCTTCAAAAGCTTTTAAATATGTAAATCAACACAGTCTTGGTGAATGCTTCCCTGGCTTTAGGGTAGAGGTGAGTAAGGGTCAGCTTACTAAAAGTAAAGGAGAGAAATGAAACAAGTTTTATAGCATGAAATCTGAAGTTAACACATTTTCACTAGCAGCCTCAAGAGATTTGACAGCTCAAATCTAAAAATAAAACCCTTCTGTGACCATCTTTCCTGGAATTTAGATCTTTAGAGGGATTATGGGACACACGTCAGTGGTGGTACCCTCATTGGGAAGGGATTGGCAAGAGCCACAAACATCCTTCTGCCAGTCAGGAATCTGCTAAGGATCTTAGAAAATAGATTAATTGGAAGAGGCTTCATTAAGAATCATAGAATATCCTGAGTTGGCAGGGACCCATAAGGATCATCAAGTCCAACTCCTGGCACTGCACAAGTCTACCCAAAATTTTAGACCATGTGACTAAGTGCACATTTAATTAAGAAACTAGATATGATGGGAGAAAGGTTACAAAGCCAGAGATGGGCCCCCAATTTAAAAAACTTAATTTAGTAATAAGGAATGTAAGTGAAAGGAGGAGACAGAAGAACTGCAGTGTGCTCTGGTTATGCTGGAGTAATGCCAATGTGCATGCACAGGACATGCCATGCTCACCACCAGGCTATTTCAAACAGGTGACTGCCTCATGTCCAAAATTCCCAAACAGCTAGCCTAATGCCACATATTTGCATTCAGGCAAAATGGGTGGAAAACAAAAACGTGGTTTAGAAATCATCAGTATAACAGCTGCCCTGCATTCCTTTTTGCCAGCTGGGGAAAATCTATGTCTCTCTCAAGAGATGCTGATTTTTCCCTGTCCTGTACTCTGTAAGACTGATATGCAGTGAGAGATTCGTACTTTTCCTTAGGACTCTTACATCTGATTATCTGACATCTTTATTAACCAGGAATCTGTCTTGTTAGACCAAAAAATATGTGAATGCTAACTGCCTTGATATTTCCTCCCTTTATGCGAAACTCCTATAAGGCTTTGAGACCTCTTAGATAATACTACAGACTGAAATGATCAGCCTCGTTTTTCTTAATCTTTTATATGAAAGAAGGTTCGATTTATTAGAGCATAAAAAAAGTTGAATCTAGAAAATTTGTCCTGCATACATTAGGTGGAAAATGTCCGCCATTAAAAATAAAATACTTTGCCCATCTGAATCTTTTGCACGATGTATCATGTTTCATCATGGAGTAGAAGGTGAACAGTTGAGTTACGAACCTTGTAAAACAGGGTTTATCAAGAAAATGCTAACAGAATTTTTAAGAGAGACTTCTAAAATCTTGCAGAGATTTAATGCTGTCCTAGCTGAATGATGTCTTTGGTCTGCTAAAAGGATGTGTAACGTGCAGCAGTGACACCTAGTGTACAACGAACGAATTAGAGATCCATTTGTACTCTGTTTATAATCTTGCAAACCATCATTGCGGGTCTTCAGGCAGAGAAAAGGGATTTTTGCTTAATTACCCAGAAAACACTTTGTAGAAAAAATCAAGGAATCAGTTGTGAATATTAGTAGAGCACAGCAGCACAAAGGGAAACTGTTCTTCAAAATGCTTTGGGTTGGTTTTGTGAGACTGCAAGTCTGTGAGTAGTCACTGCTCCTCTTTGAAGCTGGTATCACAGAACCAGTACCCAGCATTTCGCCATTTGGGATGGTTGCTCTGTGTGTCAGGAAATCCAGCTGATAGATTACACACACAGATCAGAGTGTGTCCTCTCCGAAGTCAGAAAAAAGTGGGGATGAACGAATGCTGTGGGAATTTATCAGTAAATGAATTTGCTTGAGAGGAAATCAATTGCAAGAAATGAACAGCCTTTAAGAAGTGGTCTTTTAGGAGTGTAATTTGTCTTGTGATCACCCAAATGAAATAAAAGCTATTTCAGACTTCTTTTAGACATCCAGAGTTAATATGCAGAAATTGTTTCAGAATATTTTGTTGTTGTTGTGTTGGTCTTTTTTTTTTTTTAATCTGTGCTTTTCACAGCAATTTCTAGGAAAATGTGTTTTTTTGTTTGTTTTTTTTTTTAAGTCATATGGGAGAGTATTTTAAATTATATGGGAAATAAGATAACTTGATTAGGATTACATTTAGCTGCTCCTCTTGAAACTGCCAATATTCAGACCATGTACTGAACTTCTTCCACCACATTTGCTTTTTCAGGGACTGTTCTAGTCCTTTGCTTCGTAACTCTTCTTCAAAGTCCTCTCCTAGTGATGCACAAAATCTGAAGTTAAATGGAAGCTGGACATTACTGTAGGTTACAAGCAGTGACAAGAGTTCCCGACTAGCTAATACCCCACTTTTGCCATAGGATTTAACTGTCTTAACTGTGTGTCTGGTAGGCCTACTTAATACCAGTATCTTTTTGATACCATATTGCTCCTGTAATTATCACCATTAGTCCAGATTGTTCCAGTATCTGGCAGTGTTCAGATGACCTGTGAAGTTTAAATGAAAATTTATTATTTGCAGTTAGTACTTTTCCTTTTAGCAGAGGTGTGAAACTCCAGAAGAGGTAAACTTCATCTTATTTTAAAAAATAATAATAATAAATCTTGAAGGAAACAAGATTATTTTCTAAAATTTTATTCTCCTCCTCCTTGCAATTCTGTATCTTTCAGAATGCTGCTACAGGTTCCACCTAAAAAAAAAAATTTACTAATGGAGAGTGCTCTAAAATAGCTTGAAGACAGTGAAAAAAACAACATGCTGTGCCATCTTTTGAGAGATGTTTTCTCCCACTCGAGATGAGTTCATCTTATTATTGGTGTTTTCCTGTTGCCATCCTTGAGAAGTCCTTAGGAAGGAGAGTCGGAAGTCTTATTCAAGTAATTCAGTGCATTCTATTAGCACTATGTTGTAAGAAAATAGCAGAGACATGGAGGCTAACTAGGCAGAGCAGATGCAAGGATAAGATTCCAAATTGATGCAGCTGTGTGAGGGGAGGATTATTAATCTTAGTAATTTTTCCAGATAAAAGTTTTCCATATCACCTTGTCTTTAATAGTGAGAGGAAAGTTAAAAAGGAACAAACTGGACGGATCACCAACCAAAAACATTACCCTAAGAAACTAAGGAAAGTCCTTTAAAAATTAGGTGCTTCTAGTTTAGCGTCAAGTTCAACAGTCATTAGGGATGTGTGCAGGAGGGTTAGTTAATCCTCTGCACTGAAGGAAAAAGCACAAAGCAAACTGTTGGCCATGCTGTTCCCTATGGCATGGAGAACTTTTTGCCCCTAGAAATGAGAATAAGCTTCAGCTCACCGCCCCTTTTCAGTGTTTGAACTGTGTTCTGGCATTAAGTACGTTGGAGTTATCACTGACATGGGGATTATGGGGAATTACTGATATTCTTAAGCACATAAAGGAGAGGTATGTGCTTTATCAGAGCACAGTTATTAACCCAACTATGCAGTAATTCAAACACAGTTAATGAGGTTGGCTGTAATAGTTTTCTTTTGTGACACTGAAGGTTCCTTGATGGCAAACTGCTGGATATCAATAAAGAGTTCCAGCCGTACCTGGGACAGGGGGGACGCATCCTGGAGATCCGCACCCCGGACGTGGTAGCGAATGTCAAGAAGCAGGCGCAGGCCGTAGGCTACACAGAAGGTGCACTCCTTGCTCTGGCCGTCATCATCATCCTCTGCTGTATGCCAGCTATATTAATTGTTATGGTCAGCTACAGACAGTAAGTATTCTGACTCCTTTTAGTAACAGTGATGTTGTAGTAACGACGCTACAGTTCTTAGCTGAGCTGCTTTGCAAACTTTCCTTTATTGGCCGTCTACATAAAGGGAAATACTTGTAACATCCCTCCCATCACACTAGTTGGTTAAGGCTTAATGGGGGCTTTGCATGGAAAGAGGAGATGCATGGGAAGCACATCTTGTTATTCTTTCTTAAGTTGAGTTGCAGTAACTGTTGTGGAAGTCATGCTGAAATACAAGATCAAAAGCCAGACACCTGAAATGCAAGTGTAGATTTAAACTGAATTCCATGCAAAAAAAAAATAAAAATAAAAAAATAAATAAAATAGTGCTGGTTAAATAAGTGAATCAAAGATGAAATTGCATAGCTCAGTCAAAATAAGAGGAGGACTCAACTGTTTTTTTGTTTAAATCCTAAAATATTCAGTTATATATTTTCTCTGTGTGCTTCTTAATTGCAAATACTTAATTAAAATTTGATTTTGTGCCATGTTAGTGCTATTCAAGTCAGCATAACCAGAAAGAACCTGCTTGATATTTTCATTCACCTTTCATAGACTCAAGAGTTTTAAGTCATGGGGCTAGTACACTAATTAAAGGATCAACATCGCTAACTAGTGCTATGAAATGGACTGTTTCAGGTCCACTAAAAAATCTTCAGCTGAAATGAAAGATTTCTAATTCCATATGCAGAGCAAAAAATTATCGATTATTGCAAAACCAAAACCTAAATAACTCCATGCATCTTCCTCAGTAACAAGCTGTATTCAACTTGTGCATACATCCATCCGTGTCTCCATGCCCTTCTATCTCCATTTAAAAATCGATGAACTAGATGGAATGCAATATGCCCTTATTGTGGGAAACCTTTGCTCTGTAGGACCAGGCAGGATGGGGTTCCCAGAGCCGTGGTGGATTTTTTGATTTGTGTTTTTGATCGTTTGTTTGCTTTTTGAGAAATGCTTTGTTGTCTGCTCCCTTCATTACATCAAGGGCAGTGAAGTGGCAGCGCCTCTGCAGACTCCCTCTGCAGTGTTGCAGCAGTCCGTGGGAGGAGAGGGCACAGACAAGCTGATGTGCACGTGTTGCCAGAGAGCACTTATAATTTGAATGCTGCGATAGGTGTAATATAGTACAGCATTCCAGATGGGATTTAAACACTGCATTTTTCCTTTCTGCACTGCCATTTGGAGTTAGGAAAGTACTATGTTAGATGATTCTGTGGTATGTTATTCATCACTGGAAAAGCTTATCCTACACGGACAAAATAGTACCCTGCCTGAAAGCACTCTCCATGATGACATGAGAAAAGTAGGCAGAAAGTCTTTTACTGGAGTCTGGAAGTGCTTGACAAACTTTGTACCAGTGGGATGGCAGCACATCTCAGAGCTGCATTACGTCTGTCATTAATACGTAAAGTTAGCTGTTAGTTTCCAGTGAAACACTCCAGAACCAGCCCAACCTACCACTAGTAGGTGATTACTGTTTTCATTATCCTGGTTCCCTAAGAAAGGTGATAGCAATATTTCTCCTTGGTGCCTGTTAGATAATCAAAGGAGATTAACAGTCTCTTAATGACTTTAAGGAATCTGTCTAACTTCGTCAAAAATCACAGTCTAGAAGTATGACTTGGAGTTGGATTCAGAGCAGACCAATGTGAGTAAACTATACCTTTATGGAAAAGGTATCACTGAAGAGGACCGAAGAAAATAAAAGGCATTTTACTGTTAATAAATAGCAACAGCATTACAGCTTTTTCCTCCTCTTTGAAAGGAGCTTCAGTATTTTTCCTGATAACACTCTGGCAAAGGAGGTACTCAAGTCTGCCTCTGAGTGTAGAGATTATAATATATAAATTATACATAGTTTTATATTATTTTTATCATTAAATAAATAATAAAATTAACTGTCATAATCTCAGCACATATAATGGAAATTTTTAATATTTTCTCACTGTTAAAACTTTTTATGTGCAGTAGGTGCATTTTTCAGTGCTTTCCAGACCCATGATCAAGTTAACATTCAGAGGATTAATTTTACTTACTAAATTTTGTAAAAGTACTACTTAAATTAAATGAGTTATCTTCAAAGTATAAAATAAACACTGTCGAAGTGCAGTTCGATGCCTACATTTATGGCTTTTGTAAACAAGCCAGAAACTCATTATTCCTTGCCATTACTTAGTCTTAGAAATACACTATTTAATGTAACCCCAGAAGCTAAGTATAAGTAATAGACTATTAATCAAAAAAATGCCGTTTTCTTAATAGAAACTGAAAATAGTACTCTTTCACTACTGAAGACATTTTCTGTAGCATTCTCAAAACATTTTAAAGGGATAAAGCAGTTATAAAAACACAACCCTAATAGTCTATTGGCTAATGAAATATGACAAGGTAGATCCTGGTTTTGTGTCTTTTTCTTTTCTGTCTTTATGTGTGGCAGGGACTTGTTTTCTGTAAGCCCAAAGCAATTTTCCCTGCTGTAATTCATGCTTATAGTGACTGCAAAATTGTTTCAAGAGTATTGCAAATAGCAGCTAAACACTCACTGTTCGGCTCTGGAAATTACGATTCTTTAAACATGTCATTAATTCTGTAATTTTATGTGTGGAATAATTAAGTAGCATCTAGTTTATTACTCCTATTAGTTTCACTGTTTAGGACAATTGTTGCAAACAGAATTAATTTAACCTTCCATTTTATCTCCTCATCTCTTTTCTGCATAACAAAACAGATTCAAAGAGTAAGTATTTGTTTTCTGCTTTGTTTCTAAATGCTTGCATAGAAATTCTGAGGGCTTACTCGTGTTCAGTTTTAACAGGGTAACTGTCAGGCAGTGAGACTTACTTCCTACACTCCGGTTTGTTTCTGAACATCCTGTACAGCAAGGCTTTCGAGTGATACATGTATGGCCACTCAGGGCCTTTTATTATTGCATGCTAACATGCATTGAAGATACCACTGTTCAGGACATAGCCTGTTTCCTGCAGAGGACAGAAAAATATTAATATGTGTGTGGTATTCCTCAAGCAAGCACCTGAATGTCAGGCTGGAGTGCAAATGAAAAACCATAGTTTTTGTTTTCTAAGTAGGAAATAGAGTTGTGTGTTTTTTCTTTCTGTTTGTTTTGTTTTGTTGCAGTGAATTTACCCATTAAAAAAAAAAAAAATCTTAGGAAAAATGTTGAGACTGAAATTTAGCAGTCAACTGTAATGAGAAATGAACTGTAAGCGATGAATTAAACTTTGTCAGAGTTTTTTATATTTAAAATTATAGTATCTTGGCATTTGAATAAAATAGTCAAAGGAGCTTACTCTCTGTCATTATCCCTGGGCAGCCAGTATAATAAACCTGCTAACGAGAGTAGTGTCAGAACTAGTGTGTGCATCATTGCCTGGAAGTGCTTGCTGCAAAGTGGCAGTGCTGGGCTCAGGAGGTGTCCGTCCAGGGTGGGTGCTGAGATTCCCCTAAGAAAGAACAAGTAATGGGGAGGTGCAAAAGATGGGTAAAAATTCTCACGTTACTCCTTCTCGTTGAGGATGAGAGGCAGGAATGTTTTGTAAACTGCAGGAAAAAGCATAGAAATCTTTTCATTATGTTAGTGTATAGAGTGCTTCTAATTTGAGTGTATTTCTCCACCCTGCACGGCTTCCCGAAGGCGACAGGCTGAGTGTGCAAAGACTGCAAGAATCCAGATGGCCCTACCAGCAGGCAAACCAGCCAGCACCACTGCCAACAACCTCTATGAAGAGCTTGGCGACAGCACCATGTAAGTGTTCCTTGCAATACATCAATATAATTGATAGTGACCGAAGCCGTGATTCACTTTGCAGGGATACCACTTCCAGCAGTCAATGTCAAAAAAAGCTTTTCTTCACGAAGGGATGTTTCTCCAGCTGCTTGGGGTTCTCCAACATCTGGAAAATAAATAGAAGGTCTCTGTAAGGAGATAAAAATTTAACCTGCTAATGGGGATTTCGCTTAATGCACAAGGGAATTTTTAACAGGTTTTTATTTGGCAAAATACAAGGCATAACCAGATGTTTTTTCTAGAGCCTACAGCAGGCCTTCGCAAAGAGGGGGAGCCAGGATGGCTCCTTTATAAAAATCCAGGCCAACATTTTCCAAAGCTGCTCACTAAACACATCTAATAAAATTGCTGCACCAAAACCTCTTTTTTTTTTTTCTTGTTGTCGTTTTAAAATTAAAACCATTTTGAAAATTAAATTTAAACATAAAGGAACTATCAATGCAGAGAAACGACTGGCAGTTCAGTGGATATGTCTTTTACCTGTTACATGCTTGTAATATAATAACATTGCAAAGATGCAAAATCTTTTCATGCCTTTGTAAATCTGAAATGTGTGGACTCCAACAACAATTTAACTCTCAATATGAGAACATTACAGTGGAGAAGAGCCAATTAATATTTGTTCCGTACTGGGGGGGTGGGGGTGAGGGTGCTGCTGATCAGCTTTCCAGAGTTACTCATCAATGTTTATATTTTAAAAATGGGTAACGCTGAAGAATACAGCAATAATAATGTTTGGAGGCAGGGCGATGGAGCTGCTGGTTTCACTGAGGACTGCCACCTTCTGTATTTTCAGTCGTTATTTATTTTGTTCAGAGTGTTGAAATGTTACAGGTGCTGTGATTGAGTTTATTAAATGGTAAGGAGGTGTGACAATGCCTATCGCTGCTGCTTTACCTCTTAGCCATCTGAGAGCAGGCTCCGTGCTTGAAATGATGCCAGAGCTTTCTTACGTAGATACAGGAGCTATACTTGAAGCAAGAATAGCTTCTCCTAACTGCTGGATTTCCTCCTATACCTTTTGCCTTTGTGAAGTGTTATTTCTGGGTCAGGAAGAGAGGAAAAAGCTGTTTGACAATAGCATATAGTCACGTCTTTGAATGTGAGCACTTTGACTGCAAACCAAATGGGATCACATCTGTACACTTATGCATATAGTGAAATGCCCTGCTGGATAGAATTCCTATTTCTTTTGCATTTACTAAATTCCTACTGAAACTAACAAATGACTTCTGCTGATTTTACTGGCAGTGATATAAAGCTGAGTATCAGTGGGAATTGGATGTCCCAGTGGATGAATTTGTGCTTTGTACACCAATGAATACCTTCTGCTAAACCCAGATCAAACCTCGTTATGCTGGGTTATTATACCTGCAAAGATTTTTATTATTATTATTATTTTTATATTACTTTTTAGCACTGAAACATGTAGCTGCTAATTTATAGATTTGCAAAATTGAAATTTAAGCTTAGATTTATATTCATTTTGATAAATAATAGTTTTTAATAGCACCAAAAAAAGATCCCATATTTAGAATACTTTCTCCCAGATGTCTTTGCATACAGCTATGTTAAGGAACTGATAAATATCTATGAGTAAAAATCCTTAAAAGTTAATTGAATACCCTTAGGATTAAAAAACAAACAACCCACACATAATTCAATAAAAATAGGTACAAATTACACATTCTTTCTGTCAACTATTTGATTTCAAGGCACTGGTATAACATAGGAAATTACTCTTTAGGAAATACCTTTTATTAAATTTTGACATGAAGTTTAGTAAAATATTTCCTGTCTGTAGTTGTCCTGAGACAGTCATCTTTCATTTGCAGTACTGCCTTGTGTTTTGTGTCTTAATTTGGTGTTTATAGCAAATGAAATGAAACTAAACTCTTCAGTTTTAAATCTACCTTGTCTCATAATTTTCATTTTTCTCTGTCTGGACACATAGGCATCAGTAAGTAAGCTCATTTCATTGTCTTAATATTCGTAGCTAGTAGAAATGCTAGTTTTCCTTACCTTAGTTCCCATTAAACCTTGCAATCCAAAATTCATCTTTTATTTGTCCATTGATCAAGTACAGGAAAGACATTTACTGTGAAGTTTCAATACTTGTATTCCTCTGTATCCTTTTGTAGGATGTAGAGATAAGTATGATTGCTGAACTTGAATGGTATTATTTCTGAGGCCAAATAGTCATACGAGGGTGAAAAAGAATTAAAACAATAAAATCCTTAAAATCCTGAGCGTGCACACAGGAGATTTGCTTTCTGGTCATGGACCTACGATATTAGAATTGGATGGAAGCAAAATCTTTTTTTAGTCAGCTATTTGTAATTCCTTGCTAGACAGGTACTCATCTTTCAGTTTACAGAAATAGGCTTCATACTGGTGAGCTGAAGTTTCTCATTGATTAAAATACCCATACATAAATAGAAGATTTCAGGATAACCTCATCTGTGAGAGAGCTCATATGAAGCAAGAAAGGAGCTAAGAAGCTTTTGAAATAATCCATTCCAGTAGCATAAAGGTTATGTCATCTTGCATGAGCTTTCTACTGGAGGGTGTCCTTCAAGTTCAGAATCATTTATTTCTCTCGTCTCTAAATAGATGGAGGATGCTTGACCAATCTTAAAGTATGCTGCTTGAGAATGAAGAGTTAGTTTATTATTAGTGTGAAACCAATTATTTTTCATACCAACTCTACACTAGAACAGTTATCTACAGTATATGGTTATGTTCTGCCCAAAGGCATAATGATTTTTGGAGAACTGTAGTATCTGAGGAAGAGTTTATTCACTAATGTAACCCCCTATGGCTTTGCTGGGAGGGTTTACAAATGCGACAGTGAGCCCTGTATGCTGTACAGTGGTACTTGATTCTTCTGGGTCCCTATGACAAATGGGAGGCTGTAGTTTCTCTTTGTGAGTCATTTCCCAGCCAAAACAAGAAAAAAAAAAAAAAAGAAAAAAAAAAAGCAAATGTCTTCTAGTATTAACTGTGAACATTCAGGAGATTTTTACGTATGAGTTATTAAATTACATTTCCAGTTTTTCTAGTTTAACCACTAGAGGTTAAGTTTCCAGTAATTTAGAATGAGTAATATTTTCAGATCTATAATATATATAAAAAAAAGGGTGGAGGGAGTGTCAAAAAATATTAATAATTAAAAAAGGAAATAAAAAATATCTGCATAATGGAGAAATCTGTCCAAGAAGTCTAATACAGCTTCTTCCAACATTCATGTCAAAATGGAAAATATTGTTATTTTTTTCCACCGTTCCTTTTTTTTTCAAAAAGTTAAAAGAATATTATTCAAATTTCGTAAAAATATGAATTTTTAACTCAGAAATTTTTGGAAAACTCAAAAAAGCTCAAGAGACTCTAAAAATAGTTTTAGTGGTAATTTTTTGTATAAATGTCATTACTCTCGTTCTATATCTTAGCTGCAGTTGCTTAAGGCAAGGGGAAAGTTTTCAATGAGGCATTCAATGCATAGGGTAGCCGCAAAGTATCTTTACCTAATGGCAAAGGCGGTGAAGTTCCAACTGAATTACACAAAAGCAGTAATGTTAATATTGCCTTTACTCCCCACTCTACCATAATGTCCCCTTACACCATCATATTCTTTCCTATAGCTTGTCTTGCAGACAATTTCACAGAGAGCTTTTATTGTAGGCATCATTTTTAGGACTGTTTTCTCGCATCTCTCTACTAGACAGGGATCTGTTTAGGTACAATAAAATAAAACTGTGTATGGCATTGATGGAAATGCATTTTGATGCAGTCTTGAAAATATCAAGTGCTTCACTTTTAGCTGTATCTGGAGTTGGCCAATATCCTAAATTTTTCGCAGTTGGTGGAAAAAAGTTTATTTTCAGTCTCATTATTTAAAATAGGGATCTAAGGGCACTCTTTTCTAGCAGGCAGTTTGGGGATACTGCATTTTAAAGTTCTGATTATCTTAAAGTCTGCTCAGTAGTGTTTGGTATTAGAAGTCCTTGAAGAAGGTATGTTAATGAGTCACTCAGAAGTGCTAGGTAAATTCCAGAAAATGGTGAGATATCCTACTTTTGGACTAGAAGTTTAGCGTAATCTAACTACAGGGGATTTTCGCTTGGCTAACATGATGCCGAGATGAAATCGGTACACATACAGATACTTCTTTAGATAGATGAATCATAAATGCAAGAATTAATGCCTGTGAAAATCAGTCTCAGAATGGTTAGAGTGCAACATGCATCTCAGCTGACTGGCTTCTTCTCCCACTGGCCTGCACCTTGCAGCTCCAAGCTTCGGGTGTGCCAGGGGCACCTCTGACTGCCCTTGTGGCCATGGTTTCAGGCTGACTGTTGGCGTGGAGAGCAGTTCTAGTTTTACAGCTGACCTGTGGCCACTCCTCAATAGGCAATGCAGGCACACTTAAAGGCTGCCTAACGGTACACATTTTTATAGAATTGCAGAGGTTTGATGCACAATTATTATAAAATAGAATACTCACAGGAATTTTTAAGGTGAACCTGTGTTGGCTGTGTGCTGTATGGCACAGTGCCACTACTGTGTTAGTGATGGAAACAAACATACAAACAGGATACATACATTGATTCCATATTATCTCAGAGGGAAACTGTATAGCAATAGTACGTAATATTGATTTTTTGTATCACTTGGAAGACAGGGTACAGTACTGACCCTGATACTTTTGAAATCTACGCTTTTTAAGAAGAAGTCAACAATTTTTGAACTTGCTGAGTAGCTAAAATCTTACAGTTTCTCTTCCTCCTAAAGTCATTCTCCCCTAAAGAATATGTGAAAGTAAATGTCTTGCCCAGTAGTCTAGTAGACTTGTGTGTGTGTGTGTGTTGGGTAGTAGTAGTTTGCTGGAAGTATTGTTATGGCTCTGATTCATATCACAAATTCTTTTTTTTTCTCTCTCATAAAAATCTATGTCCATG